GGTTATCGTAACGTATCGAATTATTAAAATTTATCAATATTTTTTGAGTTGTCGAAATTTATAGATGCAGAATTTTTTGTCGAAATGAACGCTTAGTTATCGAGATAAAGATTTATGGGATTATCGAAGGGATTATATTGTCAAGTTAATGAAATTAATCAAGTTATGGATATGTATTGAATTATCATTATTTATAAAATTAACGAAATTTATCGAGTTATTGTAATGAACCGAGCTATCGATATTTATCGATTTACTGAAATTTATCGATTGTATGCCATCCCGGGATCCCGGGATTTTCGGGATTTGTAATCTGCACTGATGATAATAATAGAACCTCCTTTTCTTGGCCAGTATTGGCTATATTTCTTTTTTTATTTAATAATGAATTTTTTTTTATAAATGTCCGGCTCATTATATATATAACACCGCGCGATAGTAAATTTTAAACACAAATATCAATATATTGGCGAAACCATGAACCAAATATAGTAAAATTGCGTTTTTAGTTTTTCACTCTAACGTCAGTAATTCAAAAATAATATAAAAAATCAGAGAAATAGAAGAAGTATGAGTATAAAAATAATGAGGAAATCATATAATCATATTTTTGAAATTACAAAGTCCTTCAAAATAAATCCGGTCAGACAGAAAAAATAAAAACGCCACTTTAAATAAAAAAGTAGGTTTCAAACCATGGTACAATAATTACAGGTATTGTCTTCCTAGATAGTATTGCTTCACATTGAAATTCGTGCTCCCTTATTTTCATTTTGACGCAGTTCAATGTGGATTCCTTTACTTTTATTTGGCTTTGTTTATTGTTTTCGCTCAATTTAATTTTTATAATTTTTCAAAACAGAAGAAAAAACGTTTTAAATTAATTGAGCCATACAAAATTTTGAATTTATTCAAATGTTTTTTTCAGCTTTTGCAAATTGAATAAGTTCTCTGTAAGATGGTTTGTTAAAAAAAATACGTGAACATACATACATATATGGTATATGGGGTATGGAAAAGGGGATATTTCCAGCAGTAAACGTTTTAGTGCGGGCAACAATGCTATTTTTTAAATAAGGCAGATCGGAATACATATATACGCTCTCTGGGAAGACAATACATGCAATTATTGTACCATGGTTTCAAACTCATTTATTTATACTTATTTCATGGTATTTAGGAGAACTTCTCAAACAATATAGAAGTAATTTTTTCGGTTCAAGTTGTTGAAAAGTAATGAATATCTAAATCCCGGGATCGGTAAAAGCCAAAAAATTAACATCCCTAATGGAAACTAGTTAAAGGCTGACCCAATTTACTGAGAGACACATACTTGTGTGTGTGTCTTCTAAGAGTTTTCGGAGTAGAGGATATTACGAAGTAGGAGTAGCATAATAAAAAAATGCACTTGAAAAAATTTGTTTTTTGATGACGTACGTTTCGTTTTTATTTTTTATTTTTTTCCTTTTATTTTTAATTGCTCAAGCTCACAGAAAAAAAATTTTACCACCTGCGACATTTTTATATGAATTCTAATGTAAAATTTTCCGTCGAATCCGAATATAAGAAACTAGAACAGTTTTTGAGAAATAGCCAATTTCGATATTTTGAGATCTGAAAAAATGCTCTAACTTAATTACAACTTTGTGTTACATTAGTAAATCTTATTAAATTTGCTATCACAATATTTTCCCACCGGACTGGTAGTTTAGGAGCTATACATTGATTTATCGACAAGTTTGCATAATTTTTAACAAATCGGATAGGTTAGGTTTCTTTGTTAGAGGTCAAAATATAATATTCTGAAAAAATTACTGAAGAAATGATGTTAAAATACCACAGGCCGGATTTCTTGTCGACCAGTATTAAATATCGTTTAAATAAATGTTTGCAGATTCTTCTTTGATTCAGTCAATTTGAAATGAAGCCAGTTTTTATTTCTATTTATTTCAGTTACTTGAAAGCTAATTTGCTTTTGCTCTACGACTTTCGCAGCCAAATTCGTGTAGGTATCTAATTATTGGTCCCCCTTTTATTTGCACTAAATTATGAAGAAATGAATTTCAATAATTTTTTTTGCATATGTATATTTTTTTGTTTTACATTTATTTTCTTCGCAAAACACAAATGCATTGATTATTAATTTTTTATTGAACCAGACTTTCCGCTCCGATCATTTATTTCGGTAACCAGAATAGAGTCAAGGCCAAATGCGCATCCATTCTTATTATTATACATACTTGTATAAACAAAAAACACACGCACACATATGAAAGTCTTCATATACATATATACATACATACGTACCCTGTGGGGAAAATCTCTAGTTCTAAACTGGGGCGCTTCTAGTACATTTAGACCCAGTACTGGTTCGCGATAAATCTCTTTTGCATGCAAGCAACTGGCGAATTTAACATGGCGANGATTTGTAGTGAAAAAAACTGAAAAAAATAGTTTCTTAAAAGTACCACTTTTCGCCGATTTTGGACTGGTGGGGATCTAGTTCCTATCGGCCTAGTTCCTTTTTGGCGTTAAAGACCTAGTATGGAACTAGAAATTTGTTTCACTAGTCCGCGGTTTCCCTGCAGGGTATGTATGTATATACTGTCAAAGGTCAAGTAAATAAACCGCATCAGTGTTTATAAATTTAAATTTGGAAATTACAGCATACGTTATTTATGAATATGATTTTAGTCAAATCACTCTCCACTGTTTTATAGAAACCGGTTTCTTTAGAGAGCAATCGAAATTAGCATTTTATTACAAAGTGAAAGTCTATAAAATAAATCAAATATAAACGAATGTTTACAAAATAAGTGAGCTGTGTGCTAACGAAAGCAAATTATAAGATTGTGCCGTTATATGTATGTATGTATAATCATGGAATTTTTTAGAACATAAATAGCACATTTATTTCCTTAGAGAATTCGATGGCTGAAATCGGAGTTGCTTAAATAGCCGGTGCGGTTTTATTTAGGCGTGATTTCAATATAAGTCCAAACAAAAATATGATAACTAGAATTTTGTGTAGCATTTTTGCCGAACATTCTGGATAAATATAAAAACCACAAATTTACAGCCCGATTCTGTGCACTTGATAGATTGGAGATCTTTATAATTTGTCAATTTTTTATTATTTATCAAGAATTGGTATTCCAGCACAGAAATCAAAAGCTCTTTCTTGATAAATTATCAAGATTGAAAATGCTATTGACAAACTGAAATTACATGTGAAACGTCTAAATTTTGTATATTACAAAATTTTTTTCTATTATTTAAATACTGAATGTGCCAGCATTTGAACCTGCGATAAACAGAATTTATCGCCGATATCTCTACCTAATCGGCTACGGCAGTTAAAAGCTTTTTTGCTTTTAAATTCATATTTTTCATATGAGACAATGAAATCAGTTCCACTCATGTGGATATCAGTTCCACCTTTGTGGAAATCGTAGACCTTTTTATTTTATAAATATTGACACAGAATGCGATGGGAGCTTTTACTTGATAAAATTTCTTTACAAATAATTTATCAAGAAAACACAGAATGGGGCGGTTAGTCACCACATAAAATGTATGGAAAGCCATATCCAAGGCATATCAAAGAGCAAACACACCATCTATGTAAGTTATGAAGTGTATAATGAAACAAAAACACCTTTTTATTAAGCTTGTAAAATTGTTTCAATCAAATTTTATTTTGAATTAAAAACAAACTTTGTATGCATTTCGAGCAGCTTTCCGCTCATCATCAGCAACACGACCCGTTGATGTACCTAGAAGATCTGGGGCACTGAAAGAATTTTGAGCTTCTTTGTACGCATATAAGGAGCCCCATCCTCCATTAAGTCATCTAAAGAGTAAATTCCAAGAGGGGTATCTGAATTCGAGCGCCATCTATATTTTGAGTCCATTTTTTAATAGCATCTACTGTAAGCATCTACCATAGATATGTATGCCTTCACATAGAAGAACTAGGAGTAAAGTTATTCACCTTTTCGAAACCATAGTTTTGTCTCAAACTGTTCGAAGAAATTTTTTTTCATAACCAAAAAAAGTTTTAATTTAATCCCAGAAGTTGATGTGGTATGTTAGGGAGATGTTATTATATATTTATTTTTGTGGTATATTTATGTAGTTTTAGGTAAATTAGGTACAATTTGAAAATTCAATTTTCCATCCATAATAGAATATCAGCTGTAAAACTGGACCACAAACAAACAGATTATTTTTATTTGTTCAGTAATGTTTATTGAAAATTCAAAATTAAACATTCCCAGCAGGGTTGCATTGAAAAATGTATTCAATTAGCACTCAATTAAGCTCTAATCGAGCAACTAAGAATTTAAATTTGTTTATGGTAAATCAAGCTAAATTAGCGCCATAATCGAGAAAGCTTTTCTAATTGCTTGTTTAGCAGCCTGCTTGAATATATTTTTACTGATATGAACACGAATAACACCATTAAACATTCTGCCGATAGGTGGCGCAGACGTCGATATATTTTAAAACCAAATAATTTTGGTCCGATTTGGCTCGTATTTAGAAGGTAAGTATATTACGTACACGGAAAGAAATAACTCGACAAAAAACTTAGACGTTAAATGGCGCGGGGTCGATATAATTGAAAAATCGACATCTATGGTTTACGTGGTTACGAGGCATTAGCGCGTTTAGATGAAACCCCCTATTATTTTACTTGTTTGCTTGATTTNGCATCGAACGGTTTTTAGTAATTATCGATGAGTCACCCTGTATACCAATTTGTATCTACATACATATGTATGTACGTACGTTGACTGATCATTTTTTGCGAGTTTCAAGCTTAATGAAACAAGTTCGATTCAAACATAACTACGTACATACATACAACCACAAATACATATAAAAAGCAAAAGTAAACAATAATCTTCTTTTCTAAAGCAAATTAGTATCAAATATAAAAGTTAAAGGTTTACGACGATCTTAATTTAGAACAGCTGTGAGCAGCAAACACGAAAGACGATAAGTGAGCATCAAAAATTATTATTTTATTTAAGAAAATTTTATATAAATAAATATAAGTTCGTGTAATTCTTGTGCTATTCACGAGTGCTCACTAAGAATACAAAAATGGCTGCTAAACTGTGTGGGTTAGCAATTTTATTAGCGCTAACGGTACAAATTTCATTTACGGAGAGCAAGCATTTGGCTAAAAAACGTAAGCATTGATACGTGTACTCTACAATCTTAAAAATTAGTAAAAAATAATAATTTTTTTTTTCATACAAATAGCTGATTTTCTAATTCCTTGCGATTTTAATGATGATGCCAATTTAAATACCTGTTGTGCCAAAAATTTCCAATTATTACTCACCGGATGGGGACCTTCTGGTAAGCAGACGTTATATCCTAAACTCGTATACCTCTCTTCAAAAAATTCCAATATCGCAACTTTGCTTCATTATTTCACGCTTAAGGTATTCCCGGACTAAACTTGGGTTCCTTGGATCCCTTAACCATTAAACGTATAAAGGTGCAGCAGAATACTCCACCGCTTGTGCTTGATGCAATTCTGGAGAACTTGGTTGTAACCGGTGCCACCGAGGCTGTTGTGAACAAAGTTGTGTGGGTATTCATAAACAAGCGCAGTTACTTACTTTAATGCGAAACATAAATTTGTTTATGGTTTTTGAATTACCTACTATGTTTTCTTTTGTGTTTTTATTTATTTTTTTTTTTTTAGCTTAGATAAAAAGACCTTGGTGTTGGATGCCAGACTTGAATTGCCGAAACTTCATGCCGTTGGCAATTACAAGGTCAAGGGCTCAGTTTTGGGCTTGAATATCAATGGACAAGGCGACTGCACATTCGATGCGAGTAAGTTTGCAATTGCTATTACATATCGATGGCTGAGTGGAAGATCCACCTATCTCGACAGCCAGCTCAAAAACGCCCTATCTCAGAATTCGGTTCAAAAACGCCCTATCTCAAACACAAAAAATACATTGAAAATAAGCTGAGATAGGGCGATTTTGAATCGGCAGCTGACATAGGGCGTTCTTCAACTAAATTCCGAGATAGGGCATTTTTCAATCAAATTATGAGAAGTATGGCGTTCTTGAAAAGATTTCTGGGATAGAGCGTTGTTCAAAAACTTTCTGAGATAGGTCGTTTTTCGAACTTGCCGCCGAGATAAGTCAATCTTCGACTCAGCCATCGATATGGAAGTTAATAAAATTTTGTGTAATGGAATAACTACAAATAATAAAAAAAAATTAAATTAAATTCTGTGTTCGTATGGAATAGCAGCTTATGTCGAAAGACTGACTTTAGTATAATGAAGCATTCGCACACTAACAAAAAATTTCTTGTCGTTTAAAGAATAAATGGAATGCCGCAATATACTAAAGCCGGCTTCCCGACATAAGCTACTATACCATACGAACGCAGAATTATTTTTATTTTACGTTCGTTAGAAGTCACACCTTTAGTGTTTTTTATATAATTTGTATACTTTTTTATTATGTCCAATTCCACAATCCACATTTTCTATCATTTCTTTCTAGGCAAAATTCGTTTGGCCTTCCACCTAACTACAAAGCTACGTGATGAAGGTGATCTAACTTTCTCCGAGGTTTTGAGTTTTAAGGCGAAAATCCTCGAAATCGGCGATTTTCATATAGACGTCATGCGTTTGTTCGACGGCCAGCCGGAACTCACCTCTACCGCCAATGATTTGTTTAATCAAAATTGGCGGGAACTGTTCGGCATACTCGGACCAACATTGGAGCAAACACTGGAGGCGGTGTTGGGTGATCGTCTCATGAGAATGTACAAGTATATTCCAGCAAGTTATCTATTTGTAAATCTGCCAACAGCCAGTGCATTCTATGGTTGATTCATAAAACTTGTATGTATGAGATAATATAAAGGAATTATTGTGATTTGTAGTTGATTTATGTATTTAAATAGGTTATGGTAAAATTTATTTTTGTTTATGTCTGTAAAAAAAGTATTTAAAAAGAAAATAAATTATTTAACCAATTTAACTAAAAGCCTTAATATTTCTTTTTTTTTTTACTTTAAGTCTTGCACATGTTAGTTCTGTTCTGTTGGGTTCAGCAAAAACTACTAATTTGCATTTTATTTCCGTTTGCTCATCAGCCACATACATCACATACAAACATACATCATAGAAACCTTGAATCATTAGTTAAGCTCTTGCTTACGTATTAATCAATTCAAAAAATATTTAGGAAGCAGAATGGCACATGCTGCGGACTTAAAATACATACGCTTGTTGTTTTGTTTTTGTGGCGGGTAGCATAAAGAGCAAATGGATATTAACAAATTTGACTTCAATGTTCTGAATAGAAAAAAAAATCACTCCTCCAATGCAACACCACCACATTTTGCATAACCTGTAAGACAAGTATTTAAATATAAATTTTGCGAAAATTGTGTGAATAACGGCTATATACTATACTTGGTGTCTGATTCATGCAGATCACTTAAGATTATTAAGACTAGTGAAGCCGCATGGCGTTAAAACGTCACAAATTGTATTTCAAAAACCTTAAAAAATATTCAAAATGTTAGTCAGAGTCATAAGCGACTCGAGTGCCCCAAATCATCCAAATCTCACGTTACGAGGCATTTATGCGTTTCCATGAATACACATATTATAAATTTCACTCCAGTTATACATACATTCAGTTTCACACATTCGACGAAAGCCCGTTTTACGCAACGGAATGATTCGGATTTTTTCCGACCACCCTACCAATCATTGATCATATCCTGCTCTGGGCTGTTGCGTAAGGCTTCATGCGAACCTGTTAGGCAGTAAGACCACAAGGTATGTGGCCTTTTTATGCTCAAGTGATAAGGCATCCACTCCACGGATGCCAACTGAGTACGGAAACCAACTCCCCCGCCTTTCTCTCCCTTCCCCAACTTCATACCTCTCCAACTCCGCTGTGAGAGCTAATCTTCTCCTTCTTGATTGGTGCTGTAACCGCCTTACCGCCGTCCCTAAATTGGAGCGCTAAGCATTGCGTTATCTGGCTACCTCTTCCACTTTTTTAGCCCCTCTCTTTCTTGAAGATTTTTGACAGTTCTTTGGTGCATGACGGCAGTAAGCGGTTTTTATCGAGTACAACAAATCACGGCAGACATTTATCTTCTGTGCTAACTGACGCCAATCACTGCTTCCGCAGATCACTGAAACTACATTAACTTCCCAAAAAATTTTATCGGGAGACGGCTCCGCAAAAGTTGTTGAGAGCACTTTCACCGCGCTTAGAGAGGTGGTCGTGGCCATCGATAATTTCGATAGTATCGATACTGTCGAAAATGTTGAATGTAGTACTATCGATAGTTTTGATTTAAAATGTCCAAAAATTAATCATAACTTTTATTGAAAATAAGATCAGAATTGCTACAATATGTCTATATTTTTGTTAAGGAACAAAAGTTTATCAACGATTTTTGGCTTCAAGCCGCATCCGCGCTCTGAAATATGTATGTTACTGAATAATGTATGTATGAGTGAAAAGTATCGATGTTGCTTACAAAACTATCGATGTTTTCGATAGTCCAAAACAATCGATACTATCGATTGTGCCATCGATAGTTTTCCAGCTCTACGCTCTTGCCCCCCCTTTAGAGGTGAATGTTGGTAAACATCAGTTCCGTAAGGCGGACACTGTCGCAGCGGCGAAAATTCACCACAATGCTCCGGCTGTAGTGGCTGTACTGGAAAATGCACCTAGCCACCTTTGCGAGGTCGATTCAACTGTGGGAATAGCAACTTATGACCTGCAACAGTTCCACTGGAGGGTCCATGTCCAACCCGTTGATAACATAGTGAAATTTCATTCAACGATCGCGCCTCCCTAACCGCCCTAAGAGAGCACCACCTTGGCAGCGCTGGACTAATGAATGGTCTTTAACACAATTTTTGATTCGCCGTGCAGATAAGATAAGGTGTTTCTTGAAAGGTGTGCTTATTACTGAATGTAAGTACTTTCAAATGGAAAGTCTGAAGCACACAAAACGAATTTAAGTCTGTATCAGAGCGGTCCTTGGAGAAATCGAGTTACAGATTCTGCGAAAAATTTACTGGACTTCAAGGTTTGATGAGCTGTACGAGTGTTATGAGGACATATGGCGAGTTTGTCTGTCGCATTTAAGGCAGCTACCAGATATGCAATAAGAGAACCCCCCGCACGTCGGTGTCCTTTCCCTTCTCCAAAATAACTTAAAGACCCTGCAGCTATAGAAGTTGCAAAATAAAGTCAACAAACATACTCATACACTCACACATAATTTGTTTCCTTTGGCATTCATCTAATGAGATTGTCATTAATTTTTAACAGTGGAAGCGCCAATAACCAAAAAAAATATATATTAATCAGCACTTGGGTTTTCTTTATCACCTCAGAAAACCTAATATTTGGGTACAATTACGTGCACTCGTAAGTAGTTGCTTTCTTTTAATTATCCCGTTAAACAATTTTCTGATGTCTTACAATTTAAGAGTCTAAAATGAGTCCTTCTTTCATCATAAATATGATTGTGAGACCAGTCAACCAGACTGAGTCATTTCCTGCAGGGTCAAAGTAAATACCAAAATATCACATGCAATAATAATGTGTCACTCACTAAGAGCTTAATGCCTAAAAGTATGCTTTTAACATGTACAACAATCAACGGCTAAACATTGTAATTGATGCAACGAATGAATCTACATTTGTGTGCATGCATGTATGCACATATTTTACTGTATGTGTATAATTATGGAACAAGTTATATGTCATTGCATACAAATAATTAATGATTCCTTAGTACGTCCATGAAAAGGACAATGAACTCATTTTTAAAGAACGCTGATGGAAAGTGTTAAGCTATTATACTGCATGCATGCATGTTAATATCGGTACATGCTTACATATCTACGTAGTACATACCAACATACATACCTTCTGCCTGCATCAGGATTGGGCCAAAATAAACTACTGCCTGACATATTATTATCTTTGGACAATTCAATAGAGCTTAAACGAGCTTGTACCAGGTTCCTTTGTTAGACAAAATATATAGTTCTGTACATATGTACATACATACATTTATATACACAATATATAAAGCACAGCGGGGCCCGGCGGGCGACTGTGCGGCGTATTCGCGTATACATACACGCCCTGCTTGGGAAGACAGCGAAAGCTTCATTCGACCGCACGACTTGTCCGCACGCACACAGTGATATCAAATGCACGCACACTACAACAATGCTCTGCCGAAGCTGCCCACCTCTGGTTTAAAGATTTGGGTTTGAGAAACCGACCTTGTATTTGTGCAAATGAAGAGTGTTCATCCCACGATGTACATATAAATATGTATATGTATATATTATAATTACTTAAAATGTCAATACACAGGACCGCATAGCGTATGAGTAACATCACGATGGTTCATACACTAGCTTTATTAACATTAAGCTAAAGAACAAGTAAGAAAGTCTTAAGTTCGGGAGGAGCCGAACATTAAATACCGGGGTGTATCAGTTTTGTGTAGATTAGCGTCCATAAATTTCGAAATATTGAATTTTCAAGCATATCTGAAATTTACCGTTATATGAAAAGCGGCCGTAATTTTAATCCGATTTCAATAATTTTCAACGTTAACAGCCTATACGACCTAAATCAGTTTTCTATACTATTATGGTCTAGGAAATTTTTAAAAACATTTCGTTTACGTTATTTTGGCGGTTAGGGCTCGATATGAAATATTGAAATATTGGCGTCAATCAAAGGAGTATTAAGAATTCTTTAATTTGAGCACTTATAACTTTAAAGAGGGTTTCCACCTGAGTAGAAAGTTGAACTCAAATTATTTCATAAGTCAAATGCATTATTAAAGTATGGGTATAATATGAAATGGGTTAAAAATGTTTTTTTCTGAACTTTATTTAAGAGGGTTGCCATATTTTTTTAGAAACTAAATTCAACTTGAAGTAAGGGAAGTAGATACACAATTTAAATATGTGTCGCAATTTGTGTGCCAGTCGAAAAAGGTTTAACAAGATTTTGGTTTTAAATTGTTTTTAATAGGGTTGCCACCTCTTAAAAATTATATTTTAATTAAAGTAGTGTGCATAAGTGCAAATGAGATATTAAAATAAGGTGGTAAGATATCCTTAGTTTGAATACTTGAATATTAATGAGGGTTGCCATCTGTTTAAAAAGGTAAACTCGAATTATTTAATAAGTTAAAGCAATGCTAGCCGGCCAGATGGTTTCGGTGTTTAGATTTTATTATTTTCATATAAATAGGTATTTAGTCCTAAAAATAGAGTGCAACTTCCAAATATTATTCATTAAGTATTTTTGGGCATTAACCAGCATTTACATTCCTCCATCGATTTCTTTAGATTAAACAAATTATTCTAAAATAAAGTATGCAATTTGTATCCTTTATTCAAAAATCGTGGAACTTATTATAAAATTATTGAAAACATGTTAGCAAGCAGCTCATTTAATATTTAAAATTTAAAATTGCCCCTAGTTCTTTTTTGGCCCTTTAAAAAATTTATTAATACTTGATATGAAGAAGTGGTACATGGTTAATTTGATCTAATTTTTTTCATTTATGTATGAGATGAATTTTTCAACTAAGAAAGACTCTGATATACATATATATACATATATATGTATGTGTGGATGTGTATTGCATGTTCCTTGCGTTTTTATATAAACTAAAAGAATGTGTTGTCGGCCGCTGTGGTGTAGTGGTAAGCAGTGCGCGCTTCCTCTCCGCAGCACCTGAGTTCAAACCCTGGTCAAAGCAACATCACAAAAAAATATAGAAAAAAGATTTTTTTTTAACAGCGGTCGTCCCTCGGCAGGCAATGGGAAACCTCTGAGTGTTTTTCAACAGAAACAGAAAAACAGCTTCTCATAAAAATACAATCGCCGCACAGTGG